GTTTTTTATCTTTTATATGTTTATTAAGAGCTGTTGAGCAGTTTTTTGTATATTTATGACCTTTTAATCGGTTTTCTAGATTTTGTGAAGTCGTACCTATATATTGACCATTGCAATCATTACATGGAATAGAGTATACAACATGTGAATTTTTTAAGACAGGAGTTTTACTTTTCAGAGGCGTGAATAATTTTTTTAATTGGTTAAATGATTTATGAACAACAGAAATATTGTATTTGGATAAAATAAATTTAATTTTTTCTGATAAACATTGTATATATATGGTAATGCAATATATTCAGAATTAACAGAGATTTGATCAGAGGCTATGGTTTCTTTTTTTCTTGTTAATATAAAAAATAAAAATTCCTTGTTTAATAATTTTATTAAAAAACTTGGGTGGATAATTGTTATTTTGTAATATATTTTTTATTTTTTTGACGATTTTAGGTCGGTAAATAGGACTGGTTAAGTTCAATGCTAGTGGTATAGCAGTGGGCATTCCCGACTACTTCAAGGTCACTCCAGGCTACCACCAGGCTGCCGCCATCCGGAGCTTGCACCAGGTCTCCAGCAGCAGCTCCAAGGTCACGCTGAAGAAGTGTCAGTGAGGTGCGGGGGTGGGGAATCTGGATTGCAGAAGAAGAAGCCGGGTCCGTCATCGGCAATGACCACCAGGAGGTCGGCATCGAGGAGCGTGACGTCAGAGGCGGGGTGCAGGCGTGATGGGCGGCAGCGGGATGCCGGCGTGCGGGGAGGCAGCGGTATGCCTGCGTCATGGAGCAGAGAGCAGTGAGCGGGATGGCGATGCTGGAAGCCGACAGCGGGCGGCGGGGGGCGGCGGCGGCAGCGGCGACGGCCTCTTGGTATCAATCTTTTTGTTATAAGGTAGAGAATATAAGAAACGAGCGCGCGCGCGTGGGTTTAAGATAACAACACGACGATGTAACTTTCCTGGAATATGGCCACAGCTGTGTATGACTAATACCAGATAAGATGTTAATATAAACAAAAGCGGAGGCTTCAGATAAAAATTGACTAAAAGTACTCATGACAAAAGTATTGTTTAAAAAAATAAATCCCGTGTCGAATCAACACATATCAGTTGTTCGGTTTTAGCGTTTGCTTTGTTACTCTCCTGGATACATAAAAGTTTTATTTTTAAATGTAATAAACATATTTCTCCGGCTTCATATGAGAACGTGACTATAAAGTAAACAAATTTTGATCATATAATTATTATCGCATAAAATAATATTACGCCGACAATGGTATATTTACGTATAAATATCAGTTGGGAAAGATTAGTTTATGCTATTATTAGAGTATGCATATACAGGGTGTCCACCGAAAGGCGTTTTAAATGGATTTTACATTTGAATTATTTGAAAAAAATTATAACAGCTATTTTTTATTGTAGAGGCATGACTCACGTTCTTGGAAAACAATGATGACGTCATCACCATTTCCGGCACAGGTGTTGTTTTTATTACAGTTATGTAAACAAATGTATGATTTATTACCTTTTTCTTGGAATTTTGTCTGGCTTTTAAGCAGTTATGTAAACAAACTTCAAAGGTCGTATGCGCCAAAATTTTTTCTCGGAAATATGATATATAGATGTATTTCTTGGAAAATACGTGACCAAAGCGTTGTTTATATTACTGTTATGTAAATAAATACATGATTTATTACCCTTTTCTTGGAATTTTGTCTGGCTTTTAAACAAGTTTCAACCTGTAGCTGTGGTCCTAGCGTGGGAACTTGTAGATAAACAGGTGATGAAATATTTCATAATGTTGCATAATGTTGTTCAATGGCTTTATCTGTCCAGCGTTTCAGAGGCTTTTAATGCAAAACTGGATATAACCGGAAATAACCGGTTATAACCGGAAATAGCCGAACGCGTCGACTAACGAGCGTTCAAATAAAAACGTGGTCAAGTTGGTTCTGAAAATTTTGACGTAAGGCGTAGCTTATAGCAAATGAACTTAAACGTCATCTGTCAAAGCGCTATATCGCCGCTATCAATTTGAATATTTTCGTTTTAAAAAGCGTTTAAAATGGTGNGTCCAATAGTAGTATAGCAGTGGGGCTTTGAACTCACTTCAAGGTCACTCCAGGCTACCACCAGGCTGCCGCCATCCGGAGCTTGCACCAGGTCTCCAGCAGCAGCTCCAAGGTCACGCTGAAGAAGTGTCAGTGAGGTGCGGGGGTGGGGAATCTGGATTGCAGAAGAAGAAGCCGGGTCCGTCATCGGCAATGACCACCAGGAGGTCGGCATCGAGGAGCGTGACGTCAGAGGCGGGGTGCAGGCGTGATGGGCGGCAGCGGGATGCCGGCGTGCGGGGAGGCAGCGGTATGCCTGCGTCATGGAGCAGAGAGCAGTGAGCGGGATGGCGATGCTGGAAGCCGACAGCGGGCGGCGGGGGGCGGCGGCGGCAGCGGCGACGGCCTCTTGGTATCAATCTTTTTGTTATAAGGTAGAGAATATAAGAAACGAGCGCGCGCGCGTGGGTTTAAGATAACAACACGACGATGTAACTTTCCTGGAATATGGCCACAGCTGTGTATGACTAATACCAGATAAGATGTTAATATAAACAAAAGCGGAGGCTTCAGATAAAAATTGACTAAAAGTACTCATGACAAAAGTATTGTTTAAAAAAATAAATCCCGTGTCGAATCAACACATATCAGTTGTTCGGTTTTAGCGTTTGCTTTGATACTCTCTTGGATGCATAAAAGTTTTATTTTCTAATGTAAAACAAAACATATTTCTCCAGCTTCATATGAGAACGTGACTATAAAGTAAACAAATTTTGATCATATAGTTATTATCGCATAAAATAATATTACGCCGACAATCGAATATTTACGTATAAATATCAGTTAGGAAAGGTTAGTGTATGCTATTATTGGAGTATGCATATACAGGGTGTCCACCGAAAGGTGTTTTAAATGGATTTCACATTTGACCTATTTGAAAAAATAATAGCAGCTATTTTTTATTGTAGAGGTTGGCATGACTCACGTTCTTGGAAAACAATGATGACGTCATCACCATTTCCGGCACAGGTGTTGTTTTTATTACAGTTATGTAAACAAATGTATGATTTATTACCTTTTTCTTGGAATTTTGTCGGGCTTTTAAGCAGTTATGTAAACAAACTTCAAAGGCGGTATGCGCCATAATTTTTTCTCGGAAATTGATATATAGATGTATTTCTTGGAAAATACGTGACCAAAGCGTTGTTTATATTACCGTTATGTAAACAAATACATGATTTATTACCCTTTTCTTGGAATTTTGTCTGGCTTTTAAACAAGTTTCAACATGTAGCTGTGCTCCTAGCGTGGGAACTTGTAGATTAGCGGGTGATGAAATATTTCATAATGTTGCATAATGTTGTGCAATGGCTTTATCTGTCCAGCGTTTCAGAGGCTTTTGATGCAAAACTGGATATAACCGGAAATAACCGGTTATAACCGGAAATAGCCGAACGCGTCGACTATAAAAGCCTGTGGACTCGTGAAAAGGTCTCATTTGCTTTCGAAATTTGTTCGAGTGCACGTGATTGTTTTGTTTGCTTTTCAAAGTCGTGTTAAACTTTTTTTATTGAAATACAAAATGTCAGTTGCCGAGACCGTGTGTGATGTCAGCTGTAAAATTATTAAACTGACCAAAAAATCGTTGACTCTGTTGAAGACCGATGACGAGATCAACAGACACATCAAAATTATAAATAAAAATATCGGTGTATTAAACGAGGCCATCAAAATTAAAATTCACAAGATTGATAAGAACGAGAATATATTCCGTTTGGAAAACAATTTGGCGGTGCTGAAATATTATCGTGAACAGCTAAAACAACTGAAAATTAAAAATAAAGTGTCCGGAGGTTCGGTAGTGCGTCCCAACAAGAAGAATTTGGTGTGGCAAGATGTGAAATCGTGCTTCAAGAGTCGTGTGCGGTCGGGAATCATCGTGAACGTTAGTCTCAAGGAACCTAAACAGTTTCTAAAAAAATCATTTCGTAGTTTTTCTATAAAAGCGAAGAATGCTTTAAAAGACTCGTTAATTAAAGTAAATTTAGTTTTTGAAGGAAATTTCGTAAAATTAAATGACGGGGAAGTAGATTTAAAATCATTCGGGACAAAAAACGAAATTATTGACCGCAGTACAAATATAAAACAGTGGTGGGAAGACAATGTTGTTCAACCTATACTACACAAACTAGAAAACTTTGAACATCGTAATAGCGGCTGGACTTTGTTGGAAATTATCGGGTTACGTGTAAATATAAATAATTATTCACCGATTACCGTGGGCTCGTCAACGTACGTTGAGATGCCCGAGTTTATTAAAAACAAAACGTGTGTTGTTAACGTAAAGAATAATGATGAATATTGTGTTTTATGGAGCATAGTCTCTGCTCTACATCCAGCTAAAGCACATATATATAGAACTTCATCATATCCCGATTTTCGTGACATATTAAAATTTGACGACATAGAATTTCCTATAACTTTGAAACAAATTCCAAAATTAGAGCGTCTAAATAACTTGGCAATTAATGTGTACGGCATTGATAAGAAGGAAGTCCTACCGGTATGCTTGAGTAAAAACGATAGCAAACGAGTTATAAATTTACTAATGGTCCCGGCATATTCGGTTCAAGACAGCGACAACGATGACGATGAAGCACCTGTTTATCACTTTGCGTGGATAAAAAACATGTCGCGTTTATTATCCAAACAAATATCTAAACATAAGACTAAAAAACACATCTGCAATCGTTGTCTTAATCATTTCACAGAGCAGCGTCTTTTAGATGATCACATAATATATTGCAATTATAAAACAAATACTTGCAAAGTAGAACTACCAGGTGAGCAAGAAAAATTTTTACAGTTTAAAAATTATCGTTTCAAAGAGAGGGTACCGTTCGCCGTTTATGCAGATTTTGAATGCATTTTGGAACCGTGTGACGAGAACAACGATCTAAATTTAAATACTCGAAATGTACAAAAACATACCGCGTTTAGTGTCGCCTATTATCTTAAATGTTCATATGATGATAGTCTCTCGCGTTTTAAATTGTATCGGGGTAGTGATTGCCAGGAGTGGTTCGTCCGGGAACTTGAACATATTGCCGACGAGGTGAATAACATCCTATCTCACCCGAAGCCCATGGAGCCTTTGACTGCCGCGCAAAAATTCGAACATGACAACGCGAAATTTTGTCACATTTGCGAAAAACCGTTTACCAGTTTCGATATCAAAATTATGGACCATTCACATCTAAATTCAGTTTACCGGGGGCCTTGTCATAATTCTTGTAACTTAAATTATACAGACAGTCACGTTATACCGGTCGTTTTTCATTGCTTGTCTTCTTACGACAGTCACTTAATCATACGTCACTTGGCTACGTCATTTGAGGGCAACATTTCACTTTTACCAATAAATAAGGAAAAATATATTTCCTTCACAAAAGATGTAAAGGATACCAGAATCAAATTGAGATTTATAGATTCTTTCCGGTTTATGGCTGACAAATTTGAAAAATTGGCCTCATACCTCGACGACAGCCAAAAAAGAATCACTAAATCTCATTGTGATTCGGAGGAGACTGTTCGTCTTTTGACCAGGAAAGGTGTTTTTCCTTACGATTATCTAAATTCGTGGGAAAAATTAAATGACGCAACATTACCGACTAAAGACGATTTTTATAATAAACTGACTGACGAAGCTATTTCAGACAGCGAGTACGAGCACGCTACAAATGTCTGGAATACATTTAATATTCAAAATTTGGGGGAATATTCGGACTTGTACCTGAAAACTGACGTTCTACTTTTGGCTGATATTTTCGAAAATTTCCGTGAAAATTGTCTAAAAACTTACGGTCTTGAGCCTTTACATTATTACACCTCCCCCGGTCTGGCCTTTGATTCCATGCTCAAAATTACTAAACAGACATTAGAATTACTGACGGACATTGACAAAGTTTTAATTATCGAGAAGGGGATCCGAGGTGGCGTAGCCCAAGTGTCGAACCGGTACTCAAAGGCTAACAACAAGTACATGGGTGAGGCATACAATCCGGACGAACCCGATAAGTACATCATGTACTATGATGTAAATAACTTATACGGCGCGGCGATGTCTCTTCCCCTTCCAACCGGGGGATTCGAGTGGGTACCCGTCGATCAATTCTACAACTTGAATATAACCGATTTAGCAGATGATGCTGAAATCGGTTATATTTTAGAAGTGGACATTGAGTACCCGCCCGAACTTCATGAACTCCACAAAGACTTACCCCTGTGCCCGGAACAAATGGTTCCCCCAGGAGGCAAACAATCAAAATTACTGACAACACTTTTTTCGAAAACCGGTTACGTTATCCATTACAGACAATTGAAACGGTGTATTGAGCGGGGATTAAAGATTACTAAAGTACACAAAATTCTTAAATTCAACCAATCGGCTTGGTTACAAAAATACATAAATTTAAATACGGATTTACGGAAACAGGCGACTAACGAATTTGAGAAAAATTTCTATAAATTAATGAATAATTCTGTCTTTGGTAAAACCATGGAAAATGTGCGAAAACATAAAGACGTTAAACTGGTCACACAATGGGAGGGTCGATATGGGGCAAAAAATTTGATCGCGAAACCAAATTTTCACAGTTTAACAATTTTCGATGAAGACATGGTTATAGTAGAGATGAACAGACTCAAAATTAAGTTCAACAAGCCGATTTATGTTGGATTTAGTATTCTGGACCTTTCCAAAATTATACTTTACGATTTCCATTACGATTATATTAAACAAAATTTCGGCAATCAGGCTAAATTATTGTACACGGACACTGACAGTTTAATATACGAATTCACGGACATTGACATTTACGAGAGCATGAAGAGAGACATCCAGCTGTTTGATACATCAGACTACCCCGAAGATAATGCGTACGGTATGCCTCGCGTCAACAAAAAAGTACTAGGTCTTATGAAAGATGAAAGCTGTGGGAGAATAGTTACCGAGTATGCCGGGCTCAGAGCTAAAATGTACTCGTATAAAGTCGAGGGAAAACCCTCAAATATGCGTATCAAAGGACTTACTCGATCAGCCGTAAAACACATTACTTTCGAAGATTTCACGAATTGCCTATTTAATCAAAACACACTGGTTAAAGAGCAGAGACTTATACGTTCCAAACATCACGATTTATATACAATTAAACAAAATAAATTGGCTCTCAGTCCGTACGATGACAAGCGCATAATAAATTACGTCACCACAGACACGATCCCGTGGGGATATAATTTCCAACAAGCAGCGACTTGTTCGACCACTCCCATGGAGTTCTAAGTCGAAATAAATAGCGCGATATAGTAAACGTTGACATCATTCGTCTTTCTACCGTTGTTCGCGATGGCCGACTTAGACATTCAATTGCAATACGAACTTGTTAAAATTTCACAAAAGACTTACGAAGATTTCCTTCAAAAAGCCATTTTTGACGATAATTTTCAATTAATTGACAAAATTCTGGAAAAAATCGTGATTCCCGACCGTGCAATATATTGGCTAGCTTTGCGCGATAAATGTAACATCGGGTTGATGAAAAAAATCTTTGCCAAAAAACTTCAATACGATATATTTATCGAACAACTGCAAAATATTTTCCAAAAGGAATATATGTCTCATATTAGCCTCGATATTTTACGTCAAATTATAAAGAGTCATTATCCAATATTAAATTCATTTAATCGGTATTATTTGGAAAAATTATTGGTCAACGGTGATCCGTCATTGGTCGATCGACATAGTCAATGTTTCTCGGCAAAAAATATTTTTCTAAATTACAAAGAAATCGATTGGTCAATAGATAAGGCCGTTTGTGAGGCCGCCTACTTTACTCAATATAATTTTTTGGAAACTTTGCACCGGGTAATTAAAGAAAATAATTTAATTTTTAAATTAAATGTAAAAACTAATGAAACACATAGGCAGCTGATGGTATGGCTCCAGGAGAACGTCTCCAAGGGTACCAATGGTCAAGGTGTTGGATGGTCATCTGGCCCAGACAGCAGCAAATGGCCATCAAAATTAGTTGGAGATTATTCTCAGACATTATATATGTTAAATAAATATTATTTGTAAATATTTTTTTTGTTATTGTATTGTATATAGATATTGTTTTTTGTAAATATATTATATATTAAGGAAAAAAAAATGTATTATTTAATTAATAAATTTATATATTTTTATATGTTTTATTTCACTTTAATTTTAAGTAATAATAATAAAAAACATTAATATTGTTTAAATATGTGTGTGACAAGGAAAAAAAAGAGAAAAATATTCAATAAAAACATTAATACTCTTTAAAAAAGTATGAAAAGAAAAAAAGAAAAAATATTCAATAAAAAATAATAATATTCTTTAAATATATGTATGTGACAAGGAAAAAATAAAAAAAGAGAAAAATATTCAATAAAAAACATTTCAGTGTGGGATAAGTGGGGGTGAGGATAGACGTTGAGCATGTCTTAATATTAACGTTATATGTCAGCTGATTGCAGTAAGTTATCATAAGAATTACTAAATATATATCAAGTGAATATCTATTGTGATGTCATTATTTTGTCCTCAATGTTGGCCTCATTTGTCCTCACTTGTCCTTAATGTTGGCCTCACTTGTCCTCAATGTTGTCCTCACTTGTTCTCACTTGTCCTCAATGTTGTCCTCACTTGTCCTCAATGTTGGCCTCACTTGTCCTCACTTGTCCTCAATGTTGGCCTCACTTGTCCTCACTTGTCCTCAATGTTGTCCTCACTTGTCCTCGCTTGTTCTCATTGCTCTTATTTTTTCTTTCTAATTATGAGTTATCATCCATGTATATATGTAGCTACTCTTCATTGTGAACATCATTTGCTATGATACAATCAACATGAACACATGTAAAGTTTGTGGTAAAACCTTCACTCTGTTAAGCAACCTAAGTCGACACATGAATGGTCACAAATCCAAAAAAATTGTTTGTAACGTATGTGATAAACAGTTTACAAGTTTGCAAGAGCAGATAACTTAAAGCGCCACATGCGTGACCATAGTCAACTAACAGAAGAACAAATAGATATAACAAGCATAGGAAAAGAACATAACTGTGTAAACCCTACTCAGTCGCTGCTGTCAACTTTGTCTGTCATAAAACATGGAATAGAGAAGTCTGAACCAAAGAGTGAGATAGATGAGTCCACAAAACACTGATAGTGATATTTATACGAACACAGACCTCCCCGAGGAGGACACCGACAATGATGAGAAATATCTTGAAAAATTTCACGATCTATCTAAATTCTACATATCCGGACTGGTGCATGATACTAAAGATAGCTTTGACGTAAAGTATGGCATCAGATACAATCTTGAGGAAGATTACTTCTACATCGGAGATTCTAAAGTCCAATTCGTTGAAGATAATGTGCTAATAAAGGACAGCGAATATAAGGGAACGAGGGACCTCTTTGAATTGTTGTTTAAGAAGCGTCCATTTAAAATTTACACGAGTGACGATGAAAAGAAATATACTGACATCATTAGAAATACCAGTGCCAACAGACTGTCTTATGACTCATCGAAGCCGATATCGGGCGGAAATAGCTGGAAATATAAATATGTCATAAAGCCGATTCTTCAAAGG